CGGATTTTAACACGGTTTTCACCAAGGGACAAAGTAATTCATGAGGAAGGTAAAGGTGATAATTTGGGTTTGTTTAAATAAGGGTTCATAAAGGTTTGTTTAAATTTGCTGTAATATGAAAATGGTTGTTGAAGACGTCGGAAAAAATTATCGCAGAAGATAATCGATAGATTAACAGTTACATAGGGACACACCAGAGCAAAGCGATGGTAAATCGCTAGTTTATATACATATAATAGATCCTTAGGTTTTGATAAAAAGCATTACATTCTTAACTTATTAACATTTATTGTTGTATCACGAAAAGGTGATTCATGATCATAAAGTGCGATTAAATCTTCTTCGAAATCACAAACAGACACTGGGCTTTTAATATGTATGAGATTCATTGTTTATAAACAACGCAATATATATATTTGTAATACGTGCAATTTTCTAGTACATTATTTGGATGTATCTCTTAAGGTTTAGCCAGCGTTAGATATGGAAATTTCTAAGGATGACTCGATAGAATTAGTTATTGTGTTTTCACGGGGATATGAAAATTTTCCTTTACTAAAATGTATCCTAAATGTTAAACAAACAAAGGAATTTAACATTTAGGGGGAACTTTTTTTACCGTATAAAAGAAAAAGCCAAAATTACAAAAATAATAATGTCAAATTCCTTAAAAGATACCTATCATGTATGGTCTTAGCCAAAATCCTTGTAGTGCACAAAAAACAATACATTGTTAAATATAAAATTCCTTCCGGCATAGTTTCCTTTATTGAATCTTTTCAGGGCTTCAATTGACTCAATTATATTCTTTCTTGACATATGAGAATTCTCGCAAATATTCCACACTGAGTGAATGTCACACTTTGCGAATTTATTAAATGTTACGTGAATACCACTGTGCGTTTCCGGAGTTCCTTCCGTATTGCCCTTTTCAGGTCGTTCACTTACCATGAATGTAAATCATAGTATTTTGAATTTCAGTTTTATTATTAACGGTTAGTATAGATTTCTCAGAGATGAGATATTTTCCCACAATTAAAAGTATCCTATATGTTGACCCAGATAAACAGCTATCATCATACCAAATTTCATCAAAATTTGTCCAGTGGTTTTCTCGCGATGCCTTCCCAGACAGACAAAAATTCTATAAACTACAGATTCGGCCTCGTATTGATATCTAATAATGACTATTTCAATAAGATTTTCCAAAAAATATTTAACAAATAGATTCGACTCAGAATTTTATTATATGTATAGACTAACGACTTATTACTTTGCTCAGGTGCGATCCTAGGTGCCTAAAAATTGTCGATAAAGTAACTCAACATTCATATTTTTTCCCATTTCAATTAAAGTTATCATGATTTCGGACACTAAAAAAATTTTTTTTGGAATAAAAATTAGTGAAAGAATTTTAATAATAGCATCAGTAGTTCTAAAGACTTACTTTACATACTAACTTACAAATTTTATCTTTTTATAATATTAGGGTAAGTATGTAATATGAATTTAGACGGTGAATTCTATTAATTTATATCACAGAGGCAAAATAATTAAAAAATGTATTTTTTTATGGTTTTATTATTATTTTTATTATATGTATTATTATTATTTTTCTTATTTAATAGATAAAAAATTCAAAGTTTAAAAAATTAAATATCAATATTAATTCTGCCAAAGCTAAACAACATTTCCACTGAAAGCCTCAAAATTTTATGCAATTAATTAATAAAAAAGTTAACTGAGATTAGCGTTACGTATATATATATATATTATATATATATATATATATATATATATATATATATAGTATTATTTTCCATATTTCTTCCACCTGAGACCATAATGATGATGATGAGTAGGTATTACTAATAGAAAAACGTGTTACAATACCACACACACAGATCATGTGCACCTTTAGTATACCTAAATAGCACTTATTAATATTTTATTGTATTAGGTATTGCTGTATTTATTAGATTTTCCTCTTCCTGTTCAGACCATTAATTTTTTTAGTCAGCAACAAGTGATATATAAGACGACCTTGACATTCTAAAAAGTTAAATGCTCGATTAAAGTATTCTATAATTAATCATACATTTCCTACCTATATTTAAAATAATTACGTTATTACAATATAAAATTTATTCATCAATTACATGTGAACTTCCTCCTGTGTCCGACTGCATAATATTATGTTCCTTCATCAACTTGTTTGTTCATCAAGATCATATTTTTAGGTTGCATTCACAAACATTGTGTGTTCTATTCTCAGATTGATCAGCTACGAGGCTTGTGTTATGGGTACCAGATAGTTGATACACTATATAACTTTAAATACATACATTTATTACGTATTATAAATATAAATATCCATGACTGATGTACAAACATTTGTGCTCATCACACAAATGAATGCCTCCAGCGGGACACGAATCCGCGACCGCTGGCACAGCAAGTAGGGTCACTAAAAACTGAGCTAAAAGTAAAGCATTGTACATATTATTTCATCTCTCTTGTACAGGAATCAAATGCGCGGTTCAAAAGATTTCGAAGACAATCTTCTTCTTCTTCTCCCTGCCCATTTCTCAATCGGTGCAGTACATCTTCTGTACTGCTGATAGGATTTGGCAAAAGTTTTACGACCGGCCGCCTGCCTGACATCAACCCTCCTTGGGATTTCGAAGGCAATGCTAGTAATATATATGTAGGTATTCTGCACTATGCCACTTTAGTCTACACCAAAGGGAAAGATAAAAAAATATAGTTGTTAAACAATAATAATTTATTAAACAAAATCATAAAAATCAACAAGAAACATTTAAAAAAAATATATCTAAAAATTAAAAGTCTTGGTGATAATTTAAATTTTTAATTAATTATAAATAAATAAACAACAAACAAAACAGTCAATAATAGGAATATAATTGATTTGCGTGATATCTTCTGACATAATATACAAAAATAGATAGCTATTAACTATAAAATATTAGTGGTAAACGTTAAAGTAAACAAAACGCAAAGTAATTTTGTAAATTGTTCTAACTCGAGTCTTGCATTAAGCATTGTGTCTTTCTATACGATGACATGTTGTTGTAACTAATTGACAATTAATGGCTCCCTTATCGTTGTTGGAAGAAGACCATAAGTGATTTTTTTCGTACCTACGTCAAAGCTGATTAAATTCATATTACTCGTATACGCTTCTAAGCAAATCTAAGATTTTTTAATATTTGTCGTAACGAAGTGCGTCGTGTGGTTCAAAGCTTAACATTATCCATACATATAATAAAATTGTAACTAAGCCGAATCTGTACATTCAATATTTTTTGGAAAGTCTTATTGAAATAAACATTATTATCGATACAGATGCCGAATATATAGTTTTTAGAATTTTTGTCTGTCTGTCTTTCTCTTACCGCATCACAGTAAAACTACTGGAGGGATTTTGATGAAATTTGGTATGGTGATAGCTGGTTATCTGGGCCGACATATAGAATACTTTTTACCGCGGGAAAATATCTCATTTCTGAGAAAAAATACAAAAACTGCAATGTAAGACTATACTAATATGTAAAACCTAAGAATTTGGGTTTTTGGTCATATGAACGGGGGCGGAGCCGCGGGCAATGCTAGTTTCATTGATATTTTGATTTGTCGTGAATATAAAAAAATATTTACGTTATTGATAATGAATAGATGTAATGATTAAATTTTTGTTGCCATACAATCTGAATAAAAATTAAACTATATAATGTATGTACGTATTAATGTGCAGTAATTTAACTGGTAACACTGCATAGGAAATACCGATGAGATGACTCCACTATACATACATATTGTTCTTTGAAGCAGGCTAAACTAAAATTATATAATGGTGCCCTCCTGACCGAATTTCGGTCAAGGCGGCTAATGTAAGGTTAGTGCGTAAATACGAGGGTGATATTACATATAGTGAACAAACATGTACCTACCTAAGTCTAGCCTGTTTTTTTTAATATGTTGGTACATTAACACACAGTGCCATCTAGTTCCATGGTAAGCTACGAGGCTTGTGTTATGGATAGTTGAATCACTACACATATATAACTTTAAATACATACATATTTAAATACACCCACACCCATGACTGAAGTACAAACATTCGTGCTCCTCACACAAATTAATACCTCCAGTGGGACCAAACTTCGACCGCTGATACAGCAAGTAGGGTCACTATAAACTGAGCCAAACGTGTCGTTTTTGAATGCTAGTGTTAGCCCAATGGTCGAAATTTGACTATAATTATATATTTTTTGTATTAATAAATATTAATTATACATATTATCTATATGGAAATATTATTGTATCTAAAAGTAATACGACATATTAAATTAAATACACTTTTGTTTGAAATAAAACCAATTTTCATTTGCTGGAAGATGTGATGTGATTATCACTTAATTGATTTTCACATTATATCACAAATGGCATCAATTTTGATAAATTTATTTTTTCTTTAATAATGAAATTCTAGTACATTCGAGTTCATTGTAAAAAAATATATATTCATAAACATATTTAAGGGCTGAAAAAATCTATGGAAGGGCAGATTTTAAGTTTAGAGCAACAGAGATGAATATTTTGAATTCAACAAGGTAAGTAAATGAGAACAATTTTATTGATATATGAATTGGATATAATTTTATTGTAAACAATAAAAACATAAACAACTTTTACTCAATTTAGTAAGTTATAATAACAATACACTATATACATATTTTTCACATTTCTCCAATTATATAAATACCATCTTCGTATTTTATCAAAACTATTATCCCATTACACTTCACTTCATGTACATTATTTTTAATATCTTTATTAAATTTACTCTCGCTTCCACTTTACCTTGATAATATATAATCAGAGAGATGCCAGCTGTATAAAACTATTGGTTAGCCCGCGTGCTGGTTAGTGGTTGTGTTCGAAGTCAGAAAAACAGTCGCACGATAAACGTCAAAATGGCTTACAGTTTTTCAATCTCTATTCTCGTGTTGTTCTGTCTCGTACATGGACATTTTTTTGCGCAAATACGTAAGTAAATAGCTAAATTGTTCTATTATATCGTTTATTTTAAATTTCGATCGTTTCTTTGTTTCATGTGACAGATTGTTTTTTTTTAAATTGTATTTCTTTTGACTAGGCAAAGTTATATGTTAATATTTAATACTGTACGTTTAAAAAATAAATTTATTTAACAATATGTATTTATAAAAGTACTAAGTAGTACTAGTATAGTATTATATGATCTGTGGTACTAGCGACTCATCCTCGTTCCGTTCGTGTTCGTTCTTCCCTAGTTACGTTTTAACGTTTAGTATAGATTTCTCAGAGATGAGATATTTTCCCGCAGTAAAAAGCAAAAAAATATCCTATATGTTGACCCGGATAACCAGCTATCATCATACCAAATTTCATCAAAATTTGTCCTGTGGTTTTCTCGTGATGCGTTCCCAGACAAACATACAAAAATTCTATCAATAATAATGACTATTTCATTAAAATTTTCCAAAAAAAAATTAATGTACAGATTCGACTCCCTTAGAATTTTAATTATAGTAAATTATGTGATTTTTTTTAATTTAATGAAATATTCGAATATATTTTTAATTTGTTTTAACTTCATTATTTCAAATAAATACCTAAAACTATAAAATTACAAATTAAAATCAATTTGTTATATTAACATAGTTTTTTTAATTACTGGCAAATTTAAGGAAATGCTTTATATTAACAAGTGATCTAAATTACAAAGTATGAATATACAGTATAGTTTACATTTCTAACACGTACTAAATTTTAATCACGTGTTGCAGGCAATATTATTATAGTAGATTATTTACAAAAAAATATATATCAAGCATTATATTCAATGCTCTTAAAAAACATTTTTAGATTCAAAAAAAACAATGCACTTCTGCACTTCGCTACCTGGCAACATCTTTTATTTAAAGTTCAAATACAATAATCATGTAAAAATATCGGGATTATTCAATTATTGCATTTCTTAACTAAAAAATTGACTCAAATAATAATTACAAATGGCTATTCAATTTTAACTAACGACATAACCTTGCTTTTTACTAAAACAATTAATATATACGGTTAAATCTATTATTTTGGAGTAATTACTAGTTACTTGTAAGTAGGGTAGTGGTAGTCCAGTGGTAGCGCGCTCGCTTAGGAAATCGAGTGAAGTGGATTCAAATCCCGGGTCTCGCACCTCTGATAATTTTCACGTGCGAATCATTTCCATTTTTAACACGATTAACCACTTGCGTTACGGTGAAGGAAAACATCGTGAGGAAAATTGCGTGTTTGAGAGAACCTAGGAAGTTTTTGAAAGATATGTAACGTACGCCAACCCGCACTTGGCTAGCGCTTTGGACTAATAATATGCCCCTCGTATTAAAGGAAGGCTTGTGCCCAGCTGTGGGACGTTAAAAAAGGCTGATTACATACTAGTTACTTTAGGCTGATATAATTAAAAATGCTTATCTTTTATTTTTGTATTAAAGATAAGATTAAAAAAGACTTTTATACGTAATACATTCGTTTGAACTTTTTAAATGTATTTATAATATACTGTAAATTACACTTTATTTATTTATATTTCACTAGCGATTCACCCTCCCTCCGCTCGGGTTAGGTACGTTTTAATTTTTTTGAGCGGAACCATAATTCTTTTACTGAAATAAAAGTAGCTTAAGTACTCCTTATAACATAAACTTCCTGCCAGTGAAAGTACCGTCAAAATTGGCCCAGCAGTTTCGGATATTAGCCGGAACAAACAGACAGACAGACAAATTTTTAAAAATTGTGTCTTATTGATATCAATACCGTATATAATTCCATGTGCATTTAGTAAAAAGCTGTTATTTTGACATTACAAACACACACTTCAATTTTATTTATCTGTATAGATAAAAATACTTTTTTATTTTGACTCTATCAGGTCTTTAAAAAAGTAATAAGCCATAAATATGGAGTACGTGAGTATTTTGTGTGTGATCGTTATTAAAATTTACATATAAAAGTAATCTGTATCGTTGCAGTGATCTGTATAAAAAATTACGCGGAAATATAGAAAAAGAGTAAATCAATACATGGTATAAAACAAAGTCGCTCCCGCTGTTTGTACGCTTAGATCTTTTAAACTACGCAACGGATTTTAATGCAGTTTTCAGTAATAGATATAGTGATTCAAGAGGAAGGTTTATATGTATAGCACATGCATATTATATTCATACTGACCGTTAAAACGTACCTAGAGACGAACCCGGGCAAAGCGAGGGTGAGTCGCTTGTAAATAATAAACCATGAATGCAAACCTTAAAACTTAAAAAAGAACTATGTATTCGTAAATATTTTAATACGTGCGGACATCGAACCTATGACCTTGATACAGAGAGGACATGACCGTTACGTAGCTTTAATTTATTTTAATATTTACTGCGATGTTATATTTAACTACATATCGTTCGCGGTTTCGCTCGATATTTCTATTTAGTTTGCAATCTTTAAGCATGACTTGCTTTATATGAGAATCTTCTTTTTTGGATTTAAGTACGTGTGTGACTTTATTAAAAACAAAATTTAGCTGTTTTTAATACGGAAGTTGCATATCGTCCAAATTTTTTTAATGTGTAAAAATGAAACTCGTGAAACACAACATTGTTAAGAAAATATATGACGCCATAAACTACAAATTTTTGTCAACAGTTTTGTTTTATTTATATTTCTTTGGTATTTATAGTGTTTGAAGATAAATAATCTAACTAGATTAAAATAAGATGTCTTAGAGCATAGCTTGGACCTTCTGTTATTTTATGCATTTATGACATTATATAGTAAAGTATTTAACTTAGTTATATCTTAGTGTTCCTAATAGTCCCCCCCAACGTGCGTTCACCTTGTCGTGGTGGGGGGGCTCAGTTGTGCCCGGCAATACAGCCGGGCGCGAAGCTCCCTCTTCGGGGGGCGGTGTACCATGCGGGTTGCTCCTGGTACTTCTCTGATAGCAGAGTGGACCTTGGAGCAACCACATGGTTGTGGTGGTCTGCTTCGGCAGACCTGCCGTCGGGGCGTCGTAGTTGAATGCGTAAGCGATCCTGCGACGCCCCATTAAGACGGGGGAAGGTTTTGTTGGGTTTTAGTGGGTATTATTGGCTTTATTACGCCGGTGAGTCCCACACCAGTGAAAGTAATAATATTATAGCGCTACCAATATAGAACACAAGAACAAAGTGTCTTCGCCTTGACTAGAGACTTTAAGAAAAGTGCCATTGGACACATTTTTAGATATTTTATTTTATAAAACTAAGTTAAAGTTAAATTACTCATTAGCCTTGTTGGCTAGATCGTAATAATATTAGGTTACAATATTTTAGTACTGTTACCTAGAAAAAAAAAACTAGACTAACGAGGCAGTCAATCTATGTATATGGATAAATAAAATTGAAGTGCCTATTTGTAATATCAAAATAACAGATTTTTACTTTAAAATATTATGTGTGGTACATATAAGAAAAATACAATTAGCGCAGATAGCTGATGTCATAAGGAGTGACTAAGGCTATTTTTCTATACTATTATTATAAAAAGCTAAAGTTTGTGAGATTGGTAGTTTGTGACGTTGTAAGGGTAATCTCAGGATCCACACAATCGGTTTAGATGAAATTTGGGAAGAAGATAGTTTGAGATTCTGGAAAGGACATAGAATACTTTTATCCCGGAAATCATCCCTTAAGGGGTGAAAAATGGGGATGAAATTTTGTATGGGGAATGAAGCTAGGGACGAACCCGAGCGAAGCGAGGGTGAGTCGCTAGTATTTTATAAAAAGAATTAGGCTTCCGCTCAAAAAAATTTAATCTACCTAGGGAGGCACCGAAGCGAAGCTAAGCCTCTAGTGTCTCCATATAATATAGTAACTGCAACATTACGTCATACGTATTGTATGCCAGAACTTAATAAAGAAGCCATCACCATAATTTACTACATATGTAGAGCATCTACCTATTTCCGTTAGTGTCATGTATAAAAAAATAAAAGTAATGATCAATGCAATGTAACATGAAATAAATATATACCAATAGTTGTACTTGTTCGGCTGCAGATAATATACAGAGATCCTAGAGTCGAGTCCCAGGCCAGGCCAAGTATAGCTATTGACTTTTTCAGTCTAGAAATTCTCAATAACAGTAAGAGTTTGGAAGTTCCTTACGCTTCGGACAGCACGTTAAGCCGTCGGTTTAGCGGATGACTTCCCACTGTCGATCTTTTTCCCACCGGAGTTTGAGAGTGAAAAGAATATAGAGATCTTTGGTCGTTGGTGGTTCGTCGCGATCTTTGATCTTTTACGCAGATGATTAGTGTTAGTGAGATTGGTCACCGTGACCAAGTAAATGGTCACGGTTGTTCAACAGGTCATTATAGTAAAAAAATATTAAATTGTCGGTGATTGGCGCTAAGTTCGCGGGCGATAATCAAGATATTTATGGTTACTAACATTGCATTACAAATATAATCATGTAATATCGAAGCGAATAATCATAGGTTATATAATTTAATAAACTATTTACTAACTATTACTGACTGTGGTCGATGTTTCATTATTATGTATGTATGTCTTGAAGGCCGAAACGCTTCTGCCTATAATCTTATTACGTGAGTAATTTGTCGCTTATGCTAAACACATTGATTACGAGACGACAATGTCTATTTATTAACGCTTACTGTCTAACACGTGTTGGTTTTGTAAATTATTTAGATCCTAGTGCTATTGTTCTATTTAATTTACTACTTAGCTTTCAGGAAATATAAAGTTTGTTTATGCTGGTATATATAAAAGAAGCACTTTATATCATTTATAGACAATAGGGCTTACTAAACCTTACGACTTCGTCTTCGAGCGAACTTCGCTTCCTCTAAGCACGGGTTAGAGATCGCACGAAAACATTTACACCTAAAATAATTGGACCCAGTTATGCAAAATACAGCCATGTGCGTAAAAGTACCAACAGAGTTATAAGCATTTTATTATAAAAAATAAACAATATTTATATAAATATTGTTCAATTTTAAAACAAAACATAACCCAAGTGCAACTATCGACAGAAAAATGCTTATTAACTCTGTTGGTACTTTTACGCACATGGCTGTTTTTTGCATAACTGGGTCCAATTATGAGCGACGCTTAAATAGCGACCGCTATTATCATTATCAATTTTATTTTAATTTTAACTACTTACCCATCATCATAATATTAATAGGTACTTTTAATGAAGTTAAAAGGCCAAGAGAGGCTTTTTAGAGTATTTTTTTGGTGTCGGGGGCTTCAAATTTTTAATTTTGTTTTTATTTCCTTCTTTTTAAATTAATCGCGAACACTAATTCTAATAGATAACTCTCATTGATACTATTCTTATAAGCCAAAACACGCTATATCTGCTGTAAGTTTCTGAAGAATTGAGCATCCTGCAGACTATTAGATGCCACAGCATCAGCTCAAGGTTAGCATGTCTTGAAATACCACCCAAATAATAGTACACCTAATTTCAAATCAATCGAAATGAGCTGATGATCATCAAACCCTTAAAAAGATCTTCATACCTTGTAACTAAGAACCGTCTCGATCACGTTAGCTTTCAAACAAAAAAAGTCCATTCATTTAACAGCTATGACGGCACAGACTGACGCATTGAACTTATAACACCCTGCTTTTAGCGTTGAGTGTTAAAAATAAAGAAATTTCATGTTAAACTTTTTAATACCTATTAAGATTATAAGATTATATCCTGAATGAATAATATTATTACTAACTTACTGAAACTTAGACTTAAGTTCATTTCACCTGTCTTTCTGTTTGGAATACTGTTAAGAAAATCAATTAATAATTGAGATATAGAGCACATCTCTTAATATTTATACTTACGAACTTCTATTTTTATAATTGTGATATTTTTTTCACAGCGGACTACATAAAGGTATGCAAGAGGGATCAAGCGACGATTGACAACTGCGTTTGGAACGCCATCGAGAACCTTCGACCTCAGCTCGTGTCTGGCATACCGGAGCTCAACGTACCCAGTATCGAACCCTTTTATATTCCGGAGGTAAATTAGCACTTTTAATTATAATAATTATATTACATATTATTAAAATTGCAAATGTTTGAATGCGTGTGTGTTTGTGTATTACTCCTTCACGCTAAAATGGCTGGATCGATTTGTATACAATCTAGTATATAGATACGTTATATTTTAAAGAACATTATTAAAAACATCGAGAGATCCCGTCATAGATAAACGAGGGTTGTGAAAATTTGAGGGCTGGGTGTCTGTGGCATCGTAACTCCCAACCGAATAGTACAATGCAATTTTTCAAATAGGATTATTGATTTTTTTTATTTTGGCTTGAAAATATTAAAACCTCCCAAAACACCCTCCCTTGGCTCGGGTTCTTTCTTAGGTACGATTAAAATAGATATAAATAGTCACTAGCTAGCTGTGGCCATATATATTTTTTTGTGAATTTTTCTGATGTTAACTATTCTGCTATTCGGGGTGGAGACAAATCCAACAAATCAAAGATCATAAAAATCGGTCCAGTCGTTCTTGAGTTATAAATTGTGTAATTAAACCGAATTTGTTTAATATATAAATAGATACTTATTACATAAATACAACGGTGTTTTTATAATTTGCAACTTTAATTGAATTTATTGAGTAAATATTTTATAATCGCGTTTATGTGATTATGTTCTCACACGTGTTAAATGTGAAAATTATATTTATTTTAGTTAACAACATAACAAAAATTAAAGATTATAAAATACTTTTATGTATCATAAATGTGCAAATTTAAAATACCTACAATAAGTTTTTACTTTATTTTTCTGTCTTAAAGGCCTTTTACGACCTCCTAAAGACTTCTTAAATTTAAATATACGTATAAAGAGTACACTTTTATTTAAATATTTATTATTTGAAATTTATCATCTGTAATAATAAGGATAGTGTTGATTTGTTCTTTTTTCATGTAACAGAAGAGCAAAGTGTGTGTCCTTATACTAAAAAAAAAAATTTGAAACTTTTAATTATGACTTCAAAATTTTGTTTTGTAATTTATAAAGACCATGTTAGCAACTAGGCAATGGAACGAATTTTTTTACGGAATTTTCTTTTAAATTTTGCTCTATCATATTTTTGAGACATAGTTTTATTTCAATCGTAAGTTTTTTATAACTCCCTTGAACTTGCAACTTTGTACACCCTTGACATCAAATAAATTTTATAAATCTTTTTAAGTAACGCAAGGCCGCAATAAAATACTTTTAGTCGATAAAGATACATTTTTAGAATTATGAATAACTCATTTACGTTTTCATTCTTTCATTTATTTACAGTTTGATGATCGATATATAAATAACTAGCATAATTGTAAATAATTTCATTTTGAGTGGAAAGAGGGTGGGAAAATTTAATTTTTCTTTTATATATCTTTTTTAATGCAATACGTCTGACGTCATTCCTTTTTAATAATGTTATTTGAGGTGTTTTTTTTTCACTTTTTTTTTTAACGTTGGGAAATGCATTTACGCACCAGGTGTGGGACTCACTGGCAAACCAGTACTACCCACTAAAACCCAACAAAGCCTTCCCCCGTCTTAATTTGAGGTGTTACTCAGACTAAAAATAAGTGAATAAAACCGTTTGCCGTTTCATCGTATTTTACTTAACCTACCTCACTTACTTCTGAAATACTTCCGTAACACCATAGTGCTTTAAATTTGAAACCGTTGACCATGAAAATGTTTATTTTGACAACTTTTGCAATACCTTTACCATTGATAGCATTTATGTTAAAATTAGTAGGCAATACAATATTTTTATCTGATATCTTCCTTTTCCATGACAATATATTGTTTCGGACGACCAGAACCAGGGTATGTCTAGTACCCGGAGGTCGACCTGGGACAATCTCCCAGACGTTCTTGGCGTACACGGCAGTATGTCCGTTCGCTGGTAATGTACGCCACCACGCACCCCTGAATGCGTAGCTTGGGTCCCGATCCACTAGGGTTTCTTCGTTGACAGGAGACTATACTTAGAGGCGATGAAATAAAAACACAATTTTTTCCTTTTTTCTCTCTTGGTTTCGGTTCTTCCTTTTCCTTTTAGTTGTTGCCTCTTCGGTGGCTGTCTTGCGACTGACTCGAATCGAGAAATGGCTCGCCTTTTATTTGGCCCGTTAATACCTTACAGAGAGCCGCGTACTTTGAGCTCATTTTTCGAATAAAATTTCCCTAAACCGAAACCTTGAGAGTCCTTTTATTTTATGTTTTCAGTAAAACACCTTACACATATTTATTTATTTACATGCCTTACATACTATTATACAATATTAAAACATAATATTCAATATATAATAATTAATTAAAAAAGTCTTAAAACAAAAATATCTAAATTTCTAGGTTGCTACATTTTTACTATACATTTTCCCTTATAACTTTTGAACGGATAGTCCTATCGACCTAATTCTTGTTTTATTATAAGTTTTATAATAAAATCTATTATTTAAAACATAAACTATTATGCTATTGCAAGAAACAAAAAATCTCATTTTCAAGTTACGTAATTATATGCTAACATTTTACTTACGTACCTATTCCTTTCAAATTAATGTTAAATAGTCTTATATGATTCAAATAAGCAAAAAATACTCTAAACTAACCTTATTACACTAATTAGAACTTATTTTAACATAATAAATCTAATAAGAATGAGATTTCATATTTACAACAATTATTCATAATACGCTAAAATGACATTGTCCCTATATTAATACACACGTTACTCGAAGATAAGTTTTCCGTCGCCGACATTCTCCCCCTCGTGCTTTGCACCAACTCCTGGACTCGGCGACGCTCCCGGCAACCAACAGCACCACTCTCGAACTGGGCCTCCGTAGAACACCTCCTCTGGTCTCGACGTCGACGACTCTGGTCCGCCCGTCTGGTCCAGGATACACATGCAGGATTCTTCCGCGTGGCCAGATGCATCTTGGTAGGCTGTGATCGACGATCAGTACGATGTCTCCGACTTGCAAATCTGTGGCGCTGACTCTTCCTTTGGTCTTCCTTGGTAGTAGAGTGGGCAAATACTCTCTCAGCCAACGTTGCCAGAAGTGATCGGCAAGTCGCTGCGTAGCCTTCCAGGTGTGTCTGCCCACAAGCTCGTTGTCCTCGAAGCTGCCGATTCTTGCTGCGCCACATGATCGCCCGATGAGAAAGTGGTTCGGTGTAAGTGCTTCTTCTTCAGGGTTCTCGGAGAGGTGGGTGAGGGGCCGAGAGTTGACTATGTGCTCGGCCTCTAACAGGAGGGTATGAAGTACCTCCTCTCGTGGTTGCCTTTCGTTGAGCGTGGCGTCCAGTGCGGTTTTAATGGATCGCACCAGACGTTCCCATGCACCTCCCATGTTTGGTGCACCAGGAGGTATGAACTTCCACTGCACACCGATCTTCTCCGCTTCCGAGATAAGGTCTTCTTGCTTCATGGTGTCTAGTGCTTCTTTGAGTTCTTTGTTGGCGCCAACGAAGTTAGTGCCATTGTCGGTGTAGATTATCTTTGGCATTCCCCTTCTCGCGGCGAATCGTCGTAGTGCCATGATCATGCTGTCAGTGGAGAGTGAAGGAGTGAGCTCAATGTGTACAGCTCGTGTTGTTAAGCATGTGAATAAAGCACCCCATCTCTTCTCATGGCGTCTTGCTACGGTGATCGTCATAGGGCCGAAGTAATCTATTCCCGTGCACGTAAATGGAGGGTTTCCGTGCATCAGCCTCTCAGCAGGTAAGTTGCCCACTGGTAGTTCTTGAGGTCTTGCCTTTCTTGTTTTGCACCACTGGCATTGATGTTGAATGGTCTTGATCGCTGACCTCAGTCCTAGCACCCAGAAGCGTTGTCTTACTTCGTTCATTACGGTCGCGTGATTCCCGTGATTGAAGCGGCAGTGAAATTCTTCTATAATGAGAAGTGTTGTCTTTTCCTTGCTGTCGAGTACGATGGGTCGTTTGTAGTCTCTGGTAGCCCCTCGTATCGCGTCGATTCTTCCTTTCAGTCGCAGGAGACCTTCTTCTAGCACTACGTCGAGCCTTTTCAACTTGCTGCTGCCCTCTAATTGTTTTCCTTGCTGTAGGCACCTGATGTCCTCTTTGAAGCATTTCTCTTGACTTCTTCTTAACAACAGCGTTTCAGCTTGCTCTAGTAGACTTGTTTCCAATGGTATGTATTTCCTTTCTGACGTTTTTGAAGACAGATGTCGCTTCTCAACAATTTTCTTATTCCTTTTTGTAGTTTTCCAGGTAGGATCTTCTTTGCTGGCGTGGACCTTTTCCTTTCTTCTGCAGAGTTGTATGAACTGCAGTACTCTTGCTGTAGCTCGCCAAAGTCTTTTCCACGACGAGAACTTTTCGGGATCTGGTGATGGATAGGAGCTGCCTGCAGTCGCTACGATGTCCGCTGCCTTTTCTTCGCCAGTGGTTTCTTTCTTGAATGTTCTTGCCGCAGGCCAGTGAACTTCATCTCTTCTTAGAAACCCTGGTCCGGTGTACCATCGGTGTTGGCAGTCGAAGTGTTCTGGTACGTCACGTGTTGCATCATCTGCAGGGTTCTGCGCCGTCGGTACCCATCTCCAGTCCTGTGGTTTTGTGAGATCTTCTATCTCCGCCAAGCGATGAGCCACGAATGTCTTGAAGGTTCTCGGGTCCGTCTTGATCCATGATAGCACGATACTGGAGTCTGTCCAAAACTTCTTCTTTTCTATTTTCAGATCCATTTCTTCCTCGACCGAGTGTGCCAATCTGCTTCCTAGGAGGGCCGCTTGCAGCTCGAGTCTCGGGATTGACACCGGCTTCAACGGAGCGACTCTTACTTTTGCTGCTACTAAGCTGACGTCATAAGTCCCATTTTGATTTTCAGTTCTCCAATATACCGTAGCTGCATACGCCATTTCGCTTGCATCCGTGAACGTGTGCAGCTCCCCCTCGGTGCGACGTGGTGCCAGACATCTCGGGATCTGAAGGTCTTGGAGCAGCTTCATCTTCTCCAGGTAAGTCTTCCATGACTCGTACTCCTTTTCTTCTATCTCTTCATCCCAACCGACGCCACTTCGCCATATGTTCTGGAGCAGCCTTTTGCCTTGGATGAGAATTGGTGATGCTAGCCCTAGTGGATCGAAGGTCGACATCACGGCGCTGGTGACTTCTCTCTTCGTAGGTACCTTGAGTCCTTGTGCCACTTCATCTGGCGTGTTCCGAAGGTTCGCCCTAAAGCCTATGGAGTCCCTTTCTGTAAACCAGCGTAGTCCCAGTGTCTTCTCTTCCTTCTCACCAAGGTCCACCTCTGTCTTCTCAACTGACTCAGTCTTCACGTCTTGCAGCAGGTCGGAGTGGTTTGACGCCCATCCTCGGAGTTCGAAGCCCGCCTTTTTGTGAATGAAGTCCACCTGCGCTGTAATTCTCTTGAAGTCCTCTTCTGAATGGAAGCTGTGCAGGTAGTCATCCATGTAATGGTTCAGCTCGATTGCCTTTGCTGCCTCTGGGTACTGCTTCTTGTAGTCCGCCGCGTTCCGGTTCTTCACGTAGATCGCTGTGCTAGGAGATGATGTCGCGCCGAAGATGACTGATGTCATTCTGGACTCCTTCGGTGCTACGTCACGACGATCCCCTCGCCACAGGAACTTCAAGCTGTTTCTATCTTCTGGCCGGATGCGAACTTGCAGGAACATTTCCTTTATGTCGGCTGCCACTGCAAACGGGCCTTGCCGGAACCTCAGTAATACCCCGAAGAGCGATTGCAGAAGGTCTGGTCCCGGTAGTAAAGCGTCGTTGAGGCTTCTCCCTTTAGACTTGGCTGCAGCGTCGAAGACGATCCTTATTTTCTTCTTCAATGGATGTACCACGGAGAAATGAGGGAGGTACCATGTCTTCTTTGAATCTTCTTGTCCACCAGGTGCTTCTTCTGCATACTTGCTGTCGATTAGATGCTGGATCTGCTTATTGTATTCTGCCTTCAGCTGAGGGTCTTTGTCTATCTTCTTTTCAATGTTGAACAATCGGTTCTTGGCAGACGTGTAGCTTTCAGGCATCTGTTCATCTTCATTTTTCCATAGAAGTCCAGCTTCAAATCGACCATCTTCTAGTCTTCTGCAGGTCTTCTCTAGGATGGTGAGTGCTCTTCCTTCTGAATCCGTAGTGGGTCTTCTTGGTAGTACTCCAAGTGCTTCGATTGCGAAGTGATCCTTGATGGCTTGATGCATCTCTTCTTCTGGCGTGCTGACATGTAGACACGTGTTTAAGAAGTGCACCACTTTCGCGCCTCCAGTGTCTGACCCGTGGAGCACCCATCCAAGTCCTGTTCTTGAAGCGACTGGTTGTCCTGGTTTCCCTCTTCTTACTTCTTGAGTCACGATTAGCTCCCAGTTGTCTTGACCGATGAGCAGCTGTGGTGACTCCCCCTTATAATATAGAGAGTCAGCAATCTTCTTCAAGTGTTGACACTCTTCTATCCTTTTCTTTTCTAGGAACTGCGGTGCAAGCTTCAACTCGTCGATGGTCCGGACTCTTCTCAAGGTCTTCTTGGTCTTCTGATGAATCCCCTTCACCGTAAGGTCCAGCATCTGAGAGTCTTCCTTCCTTATCAGCCTGCCTCCAACAGTCTCGATGACCAGTTCCTCCTTTCTTCCTTGAGCGCCGATTTCTTCTGCTACCTTCTGGTCTAGCAGCGACACTGTTGACCCTTCATCCATGAGGGCCAATATCTTCTTTGATCCTTTTGACCCGAAGATTTCTATCGGAATTATCTTCAGGTATGCCCTTGCGTTGTTGACCGCATTCACCGATGCCATGATGCTCGCCACTTCTTGTGGTTTGTTCTTCTGTTCTTCCGAGGAACTTTTCTCTGTCTCGACGTGCAGCAGATGATGATGCCACCTCTTGCATTCCTTGCACGACGGCTTCTTGCAGCTCTCCTTCCGATGTGTCCCTTGTAAACACTTGAAGCAAACGCGGCTTTTCTTCACTATTGCCCATCGATCTTGCACAGACGCCTTCAGGAACTTCTGACACCCGACGAGGAAGTGTTCACCCTCACACATGGGGCAAGTCTTCTCTGATCTTGAAACCTTTTCTTTGAAGTCCTTTTCCTTAGTTGAATGCGTTGCTTGTCGATGAGTCCGTCTGAACCCGCTCTTCTCTTCTGTTGATGCATAGGCTCCACACTTGTCTGCTTCTCTGTTCAGGAACTTGGACACCAGTGTTAGGTCGGAGAACTCGCCTTCTTCTGTTGTTTCAATGAAGTCGTACCATCGGAACTTGAGGATCGTAGGCATCTTCTCAATAATTTGCTTCACCATCTCAGGTGAATGCAGGTACTGTGGTTTCTTCAATCCTTTTATTGCCGCTACGCTGTTGCTGATCTGGCTCGCGAAGAGGCATATGTCCCTTGGGTTTTCAGAAATCTTCGGCAACGTTTTGACCTTGTCCAACTCTGCCAGCACCAGTGCATCTGGTCTTCCATATCTTCTTCTGAGGGCTTGAATCACTTCCATCGGAGAGGCTTCGGAGTACAGCAGACTCTTGATAGCTTCTCTTGCGTTGCCCTTCAGTGCTCTTCTTAGCCGAGCCATATTCTGGACGTTGTTAAACATCGGTGCTGTATCTTCATAGACAACCTTGAAGGCCATCCACTCGCTGCTGTTGCCGTCGAAGTAGGGTAACTCGTGAATGTAGGTTGGCTGTCCTGCTGGTCCTCGCGTGGTAAGAGCTTCCTTCAATGCTGCCGTCAGTGCTTGAATTTCAATCGTAGCTCCTCTCGTTGAGGAGTTCTCTTCAGGCTTCATCTTCTGTGGCTCTTCCAAGGGGTGTGGACCTCGCATCTCTGGTTGAACTTTGTTGCCATCCTCCAGCACAGACGTCTCGATCCAGTTCTGCACCTGTGCTGTTCTGTCTTCCAGGTCTTCATCCACGGAGTCCTCTTCTTCACACTGTGCCATCTCCAATCTGACACGGGCTAGCTTAGTTTCGGCCTGTGCTTGCTTCAACTCCAGGCGTGCCAACTCTTCCTTTGCTTCTAGCTCGCGTCTTCTGGCCGAGGAACTCGTGGTCTTCGTGGACCTGGCGCGACGACTGACCCCCATCGGTTTCAGGGTCTTGGAGGAGCCTTGAACATCCTTTCCAGGTACATCTTCTTGGCTCTTCCTGGTCATTCTCTGTGCAGCATCTTCTTTGTTGCCTTCCATAGACGCCGCCGTAGTTGCAGTCGTAACCGTAGTCTCCGTCACTGTGGTGCCCTCCGTGGTCGTGGTACCCGAAGAAGTGTTCGATGTAGTTGCAGTTCCCGATGACGCCGACGCTGACGTGACCCCTTCTGATCCCGACGTTCCATCTGTCGCGTCCCTATCTGAAGGACGGGACCCGGGACGTGAGGGGGCATCCTTCTGCGACCTGGTTACCGGCATCTTGAACGCAATCTTCTGTTTCTTCTGAACTTCTTCTAGCAGGGATCCGGCTCGAAGGACCAACTGTTTCGGACGACCAGAACCAGGGTATGTCTAGTACCCGGAGGTCGACCTGGGACAATCTCCCAGACGTTCTTGGCGTACACGGCAGTATGTCCGTTCGCTGGTAATGTACGCCACCACGCACCCCTGAATGCGTAGCTTGGGTCCCGATCCACTAGGGTTTCTTCGTTGACAGGAGACTATACTTAGAGGCGATGAAATAAAAACACAATTTTTTCCTTTTTTCTCTCTTGGTTTCGGTTCTTCCTTTTCCTTTTAGTTGTTGCCTCTTCGGTGGCTGTCTTGCGACTGACTCGAATCGAGAAATGGCTCGCCTTTTATTTGGCCCGTTAATACCTTACAGAGAGCCGCGTACTTTGAGCTCATTTTTCGAATAAAATTTCCCTAAACCGAAACCTTGAGAGTCCTTTTATTTTATGTTTTCAGTAAAACACCTTACACATATTTATTTATTTACATGCCTTACATACTATTATACAATATTAAAACATAATATTCAATATATAATAATTAATTAAAAAAGTCTTAAAACAAAAATATCTAAATTTCTAGGTTGCTACATTTTTACTATACATTTTCCCTTATAACTTTTGAACGGATAGTCCTATCGACCTAATTCTTGTTTTATTATAAGTTTTATAATAAAATCTATTATTTAAAACATAAACTATTATGCTATTGCAAGAAACAAAAAATCTCATTTTCAAGTTACGTAATTATATGCTAACATTTTACTTACGTACCTATTCCTTTCAAATTAATGTTAAATAGTCTTATATGATTCAAATAAGCAAAAAATACTCTAAACTAACCTTATTACACTATTTAGAACTTATTTTAACATAATAAATCTAATAAGAATGAGATTTCATATTTACAACAATTATTCATAATACGCTAAAATGACATTGTCCCTATATTAATACACACGTTACTCGAAGATAAGTTTTCCGTCGCCGACATATATACAAAGTAAATTCTATATTACACTTTGTACTGACATACTATAAGAACGCCTGTGCATTATTTCAGATTGTTGCGGTGAGCGGAGAACTTGTACCTCTTAAAGCGTCTGGAAAAGACGTGAGAGTGTCTGGGGCTGGAAACTTCACCATTAAAAGTGTTTCGTAAGTATTCATAATAAATAAAATATACAATCGTATAAAAATAGGATAATATTATCTAGTAGAAATACCTTTAAATTGTATATAAATAAAAGCGACACGTGTATTCGGTTTGGCGCAAAATGTGTAATATACAAAAATAATCAATAATAAATTGTGGACAAAAATGGTTCCGTGTATAATCTTGCTAAACTGAACGGTTTTACCATAACTAAAGTGAAACGATAGATCATTCATCGACAATTATCGTGGCAGTAACATATTCAATCCTGTGTATTTTACGTTTAATACGAATATACATATATCTGACGACACGTTTGGTTCAGTTTGTAATGACCCTACTTGCTGTGCCAGTGGTCGCAGGTTCGAGTCCCGCTGGGGGCGTTCATTTGTGTGATGAGCACGAACGTTTGTACTCTAGTCATGGGTATTTATATTTATAATATGTATGTATTAAGAATTATATATGTGTAGTGTATCAACTATCTGATATTCATAACACAAGTCTCGTAGCTTACCATAGAACTATGATCGTAAGATGGTGCTGTGTGTTAATGTCCCAACATATATATATATATATATAATTTATTTCCAGGGTGAATCTAGAAGCATTAACGATTCGCGCTCGAGTCCGATTCCCCAAATTACACTTAGACGGACGTTACAATTTGGACACTAAAATCTTAATCGTACCTTTACGTGGAGAAGGAAACTTGGTAGCTGATGCTGGTAAGTCTTATGCGTAGTTAAAAATAAGGAAAAAAATATTTCTTTTTTAGTAGGGGAAAGGGGGGTACACTGGATCACTTTTTTTCAAATGTAGTTTACCTATATAAATAAAGTATAAATTACCAATATTTATATGTAGAGCAATGAGGTGTTAAGTTGGCTATAGAAATCTAGTTCAACTTTAGCAATAATATTAATAGTTTTCTGAAAGCAAAGGATTTTTTAAAAAGTGGGAAATTATTCATTGTACCCCATATATGGGGTACATTGGATCTCCGCATGGGGTACAGTGGATCTTATTGGGGCACAGTGAATCAACACATGAAATTATCATACATTTTACTTTTGGGTTACAGCGAATCAATCAATATTGTAAAAAAATTATATAAATAAAAATATTTATGAATTATGTGAACACTTTTAATCAACAATATTACAAAATTATCAATCTCTATTTATTTTCTATCAATCGTAAGTAACACATTACTTGTAGTGATATCTTATAAAACATGTACTTAGTAGGTATTTATATTAAGAAGTTTAAGGTATTATTTAAGGTTTAAAAATTATTAACTGGATAACATAAATCTTGAACGAAACAAAATAAAACATATACACAATAAAACTAATTTCAAAAATAAAAACATATCACGTTAATACGAAAAGAAATTTAAAAAATAAAATAATAATTAACGCAAACTTAAGCGAGAAAAATTGAGATCGATCTCATTTATAGACTTGCTGTTGTCGTTTAGTGCCACAAAATGTAGGCAGAGGTAATTTCATTATTATATATTCTACTGTACTGAAGCTATATTTGGAACATCAGGTAATTTGTACCCATGCTTTACTTTTGTTCTCCTTCCCTTTCCTGTGTAAAATACTTTCTTTTTATGTGCAACTAACTATACTAGACGCAGATTTTTTTCTTTTCATTCTCTTTGTATTTATTAGTCGTTTCTCTCTCTTAATTTGTACTACTCCTTTGTTTTTTTCTATCTTCGTCACTAGAATCGAACTGCATAACTTTTTTACTAATATGTTTTGCTACTTTCACAAGCTTATTAATTTTATCTTGTTGACGTTGCTCGATATATTCTTTATTTTTAATTCTTTTTCCAGTGAAAATCTTATTTACCCCATAAGTGGGAGTTAAACGTAGCTTGCCAATGTGTTTTATCTTTTCGCATAATATCTATGTAAGAGCATATGGATTATTTTTCTAGTTTTACAACTTTTCTAATTTGTTGCCCCGTAAAACAAAGACAATGGCATTTTATCTATTCAGTTCAGTAGTAAGACCAATTTGAGTTTTTCTCTTTCGGTGCCGTGCTATGTTGTTAATCTAAAACAAAAATTATTATTACATACTATAAATAAAATAGTCTAATCAACTCGAAATTTAGTGTGGAGTACAGTGGATCGCCAATCCACTGTACCCCACATGGAAATGGCCCACTGTTCCCCAAAGCACCACTAACAACTGAACAACAAATTCCTATAACTTACATAATCTATACGAATCAAACAGCTATTTATTTCTGAAGCTTATTAGATTATTGTTTAGGTAATTTAAAGTAAGTCATTCAATATTAAACATTAACGTGAATAAAACACTCGAGTAATAGTAGTAAAAAAATAGATTTGATACTCACGGATAGCCAAATGGCGGTAACACATTCTTCAACAGCGAGAGCGTGATGGACACTGGCGGGGTAGAGGTGTAAGTACTAAAGCATGCGTTCCATTATTGTGGTATGTGTATAGAAAGCATAGGCAAAGAGAAGTAGCCACTGATTCACTGTGTACTACGGCTCACTGTACCCCCCTTTCCCCTATAGTGTAAATATCAATTTCTATAGAAATTAAAATGAAGTCATTCCCTAAAGTATTCTTGTCTTAGGAATGATCTATTGAAAATTCTAAAATAAATATAAATAGTTCATAAACATTTTCTTTGTTCTCAATTTTCATGATGTTGATAGTATCATATTTAACGCAATGCAATTATAATATAGGTCAAAACTAATAAATCAGTGAAAAAGTTTTTGAAATCTATTAATAATTGACTGAAAAATTGATTTAAAATTCGGCCGTTCAGGTCACGAAATTATTCTTACAAGTGCAACTTTAAAGTTTCATAACTTTTTCATTCGGTGAGATATTTTAATAGTTCTTTCATATTTTTGTTATAATATAAGTATTATCATTGATAAAAAAATACTAGATACGCAATCCCGTGCAAAAATTCTCTTAAACTGTCATCAATTGTGTTTAGGTAATTATTCTAGTTGAAATAAATATACAACAATGTAAAATTAACCTTAAATGCAATGCTTAAAGTTGTTTTCACAAGAAAAAACCATTAAAAGCGCGCTCAAACGCTCAAATGTTCTGCGAGGACATTTTTTGTAGCTGATTGTGTAATTTTTTGATCGATATATATTATGCTTAATTTTTTATAATTAATACAAAAAAAATGTGAAACTTCTCCGTCGTCCAGTTCGTAGATATTCATTACTTTAATTAACGTCAAAGCTTTACTGGAAAGTCTCTATATTTAATGACATTTAAAACATAAAAAATATAGTTATATTTTAACAATTTCTTACATAGACAAAAGATTTGTTTATTACCTAATAATAAAAAATCGATTTATATACTAACACAATTTAACTTTGTTTTATTTTGTTATTTACAATTTTTATTTCTAATTTTACAGTCAAATGCGACGCAGAAATTCTACTTAAATCTAAATTAGTAGAGCGCGAAGAAAAACAATACCTTCATTTTAGCAATATGAATGTTGACATAAACATCAAGGACTATCGCATCAGGTTGGACGGACTTTTCAATGGGAACAAAGCTTTGGGTATGTATTTAATTTTACTTTAAATATTTTTTAATTATTTGATAATATTTATAAGCAAAAGCAAGTAATTGATGCATATCTAAAAGAAAAAAAAACACGCCTGATAATTTTCTAAAGCAATATTTACGTTAGACATAAGTGCTCTTTAAAGGTAAAGGTAGAGTAATGTAGAGCTGCAATGTTTTTGTGTGTAAAATTCTTACCTAAAAACAAATTACATGTTATTAAAATATAAAAATATGTTAATATTATGTACACTGCTTTTAATATTAAGAAATATATTTATAATATTAAAATATACAGATCGATTAATAAATTTAAAAAAAATACCTCTAATATCTTTACAGGAGAAGCAACAAATGAAGCGATCAACCAAAATCGTGCAGAGTTTTTGAAGACTATGCAACCGTATCTAGAAAAGACCGTTGCAAAAATACTTCTAGATGACGCTAACAAAATAGTTGCGTCTATACCATATGATGAGATACTTCCTGTTGCATAATTTATTACTTATACTAAGTTATTATATTTATAGTTATTAGTATATTTATAATATGGTGCTTAAAAATATAATTTAACGCCTCAAAAATTTTCAAGGACTAAAAAAAGCTGAAATGTTTATATAAAGAAAAGAGTTTAAAAAAATATTTTTTATTAATATTGCAGTTTCCACAGAAAGAAAAGTAAAAAATCATTTTAGTATTTATTGAGAAATCTAAATCAATCTGCAGAAGTCATATAAATTTAAGTAAATAAATAATATTAAAATATATAAATATTGAATTATCTACACTAGCTAGTATTATGGAGATTTAAATGTAAGTTTGTATATGTGGGATTATTTCTGAAACTACGGATCCGATTCTTAAAATTCTTTCATTAATATGAAGCTACTCCACGGTAAAAGTGCTTACTACACAATCAGCGACAAAAAATGTCCTCACCAAATGAGCACCTACTTGAACATTTGGGTGCGCTTTTAATTTAGTAGTATTGGAACACTCCGACGGTAAACAAACCTCAGTGCTCGTTTAAAAGTTGCATTTTGCTTTGTGTACATAGCTTTGTGAAAACCTTTTTAAGTATTGCATTTAAAGTTGAATTTGCATTATTTTATATTTATTTCAACTAAACAATTGGTGACAGTTTCAAGAGAACTTATGCATGGGATTCTGTATCTTATTCTTTATTAGTGATCGATGGTTTACAGTCAGAAATTATAATAATTTTAGTTGATGTCGAAAAAAAAACTGGCTGTTGAGTTCCTTTATTGGCTATTTTTAAACATCTAGGGATTGACTCGAGCGAAGTGAGGGTAAGTTGCTACTTTATAATAAAAATACTATATAGTTCTCTTAAAATACGATGGGCTCATATTTTCATTATATAGTAATAATTATGAAGATAGTTTATTATATTTCTTAGAATATCCTTCTATAACATGAGATAATATTTTAGGAACAATTGTTTTTTTTTATATATTAATGAAAAAAAACAAATAAAGCTATATCTATTTTAAATTACTATATTGAAATATTATCTTAAAAAAAAGATAAATGTCAAATTTCGGCAGCTAGAGCTTTCTCAATAGACACCTTAATATTGTTTATTTATGTATAATTAAGTGAAGTAACACATTATGTGACCACGCTACTTCTCTAAAAATGATATGCAATCTATACATATAATAAAATTGTAACTGAATTGAAATAAACATTATTTTTGATTCAGAGGCCGAATCTATAGTTTTTAGAATATTTGTCTGTCTGTCTGTCTGTCTGTTACCGCATCACAGAAAAACCACTAGAGGGATTTTGATGAAATTTGGTATGGTGATAGCTGGTTATCCAGGTCAACATATAGGATATTTTATAGCGGAAAATATATCATTTCTGAGAAAAAATACAAGAACTGCAATGTAAAAGTATACTAATATGTAAAACCTAAGAATTTTGTTTTTGGTCACCTGAACGCGGGCGGAGGCGCGGGCAATGCTAGTTTTAATATATAGATTTAAGTATTCTTTTTTAAAGGTATAGTTTTCAAACTAATGTTTTTTAAATGATGTAATAATTTATATTATATACGACTCATCCTTATTTCGCTCAAGTTTATTCCTAAGTACGGATAACGATTAGTGATTCCCATACAAAATAAACAGTTCTGAACTTTTCGATGTTCCAACTGTTTTTTTTGTTTTCCTTATTTTTTTAATACTAAAACCACCCCTGAGATACCTCCAACAAAACAAAAAAAGAATTATTCAAATCGGTCCAGCCGTTTTTGAGTTTTAGCGAGACTAACGAACAGTAATTGATTTTTGTATATACAGATTGAATGTGACAACATTGTAAAATATATGTATGTAGTATATATAGTGTTGATAACGGTTTGTGATATTATTTCAGGCATTTTTAAGGTTTATAATTTGTATTTTACTAGTTTTTTTAAACACTTTACTTAAAATTAGGTAAAAATATAGAGTACTCAGTCTCTTAAGTAGCGAAACGTATGGTCACATTATTATATTGCGTGCCTCCAACATTTTGTAAATTGAATCTGCCCGTATTGTTAATTTTGTAAATAAATAATTTAAGATAATTCCAAAATGTCTAAAAGAATTTCTTTTGTATACAAAGATTCTAACGTAGTGTAAAATTGTTGTTAACAAAAATTAGAAATTATAATAAAAAAATTCAAATATACTCCATAATTTTTAGTTAACCCCACCACATAATATGTATTTAATTTGTTTTTAACAACCAATTTGGCCAACCTTCAACTCCCAACCTCGCAAACTACCAAACTCTCATAAATCTTCATATCAACAGGATACAAAGTAGCCTATGTCGCAATCTGCCTAACATTTAAAGTATCTTGTCGTATTAGATACCATTTTCTACTGTTATTAATGCTATGAATAAATATTTCTCCCCTATATAACATTCCACTGTTACGCACGGGTCTTCCCACAATGCGAAGGAAAACAGGTTCAACCCACTTCATTTGCTATTTCAAGCGAGCACGTTACCTACTGGACTAATATTGCTATTACATTCTTTTATCCTTTTTTCCTTCTTCTATCCATTAAATATTTCTTTCTCACCTAACTTAACACCCAGTGAAAGTTTGGTTACAATCGGTTCAGACGCTCCAGATTGAAAGATACAAAATTTTTCAATAAGTGGTATCCTTTTTGGAATCTACCTATGTACAAAATTATATGCACTACGTCACTATACTACGTAACTGTTCAATTAATTGCTCTTTGTAAACAATTCTTTAAATATATAATGTGTACACTACTACTAATAACACTTGACTTTTTCAAATACAAATAAATATTTTGTAATATTGGAGAACATCTCGTATTAATAAAATATTAGCTTTGCCTGAGGCTAGGTTCTCGTAGTTTATTTTATACTCGGATTGCCCGCGGCTCCGCCCGCGTTCAGATGATTAAAAACCAAATTCTTAGATTTTACATATTAGTATACTCTTACAATGCAATTTTTGTATTTTTTCTCAGAAATGAGATATTTCCTGCGGTAAAAAGTATCCTATATGTTGATCTGGATAACTAGCTATCACCATACCGAATTTCATCAAAATCCCTCCAGTGGTTTTTCTGTGATGCGGTAACAGACAGACAGACAAAGAGACAAAAATTCTAAAAACTATAGATTTGGCCTCTGTGTCCATAATAATGTTTATTTCAATAAGATTTTCCAAAAAATATTGAATATACAGATTCGGCTTAGTTACAATTTTATTCAATCAATCAAATCAATTCCTAAGATCGAAGTGTATTGCTAGATAGCTAATAACCTTCCTCAATAAATATTATGCTAATGAACATTTTAAATAAAACTATCGGATTTTTCGTAGATTTATTTTGTTTTATTTGTGGTTCCTTATGTTTCCAATGCTTGACAGTAATCATGGCTTATGGAGTGAATCTAAAAAATCTGAAAAAAATGTTTTATTTAAAATGTGAAATATTCGCGTGCATCTAAGAAAGTATTGGCTTGAGGTTATTAAATGCAAAAAAAACATGCAGTTGAACTGGGAGTTCCAGAAATTACCATGTTTAAACATTCGAAAAGATTTTTTCCAGTTTTATACTTTGGATGTTTAGTTTACAGATACACTATGACTTGGAGTAATACATAAGCTGTTAGGGCTGACACCTAGAGATACACTCTAGCGAAACAAGCGTAGGTCACTTGTATTAATATATGTATGAGTACGTTTGACGTTTTATAGTACTTATATCTACAGGACTTTTTTCAGTACCATGTGGCACTTTTACCACAGGTATAAATTAACAGTATAAAAATCAAAGCTATTCTCTATTTCATTACTGCTTGACAATCCGTTTGGCTCAGTTTTTAGTGATACTATTTGCTGTGCCAGCGGTCGCGGGTTCGAGTCCCACTGGGGGCATTCATTTGTGCGATGAGCACGAATGTTTGTACTCCAGCTATGGGTGTTCATCTTTATGTATGTATGTATCTATTTAAGTAGTATATGTGTAGTGTATCAACTATCTGTTATCCATAACATAAACCTCGTTGCTAACCATAGAACTAGATGGTGCTCCATATTCATTATTATTATTATATTTATTTGAAAGAGGAACACAACAATATTTACGTATTTATGGTACTAGATGTTGTAGATAAGGATTTTATTAACCAATATAAAGTAATTAGTCATATAAATCAAAAGTTCATTGCTCTAACTTTCGCAAACCTTGACGAAAGGGTTTCTAATCTGCTATAATTGCGGATAATCGGTTCCTATTTGCACAGCATCCTACTGACCCATCCGTTTGCGTACGCGCTACACGCCGGTTGAGAAATAAACAATCGCTAAACTATTCATTAATGTTTTTCGCAGTTGCATTTGAAATATATATTTATATTAAATTAGAGTGTAATTAACGCAGTGGTAGCACAGTGGTAACGCGGTCGCTTGGCAAACAGTGTGAAGCGGGTTCAAATCCGGGTCTCGCACCTCTGATATTTTCATGTGCGAATCATTTCTAGCATGATTACCACTTGTCTTACGGCGAAGGAAAATATCGTGATGAAACCTGTATGTCTGAGAGAACCTAGCAAGTTTTGAAAGATATGCGCAGTCTGTCAACCCGCACTTGGTCAGCGTGGTGGACTATGGCCTGATCCCCCTTGTATTGAAGGGAGGCCCGTGCCCAGCAGTGGGACGTTAAAAAGGGCTGAATACATGAATGAATGCATTAAGCACGTGAAAGGTTGTATGCGTGTTTGTTTGTTACTTCTTAACGCTGAGACGGCTTGACACATTTGAACGAAATGTAGTTCACAGATTATGGATCTGGAGTAACATGTAGGTTACTGTTAGGCACTTAGGTCCCGAGCAAAGCGTGGGTAAGTCGTTATAAGCTTTATAAATGTAATAATATATCTTATAGTTTATTTTGGCATTATAGATCAGAGTTGTTGATCTTCATTCGAA